GCTTTGGCAACATAGCAAGACCCCATCTATTTAAAAAATGTGCTGGGCTTGGTGACTCAGCCTGTAATCCCGCACCTTTGGGAGGCTGAGGCGAGCGGATTGCCTGAGCCCGCAGGTTCGAGACTCACCTGGGCAGCGAGACCTCATCTCTACAAAAAATCAAAAAATCAGCCGGGCGTGGTGTCACATGCCTGTAGTTCCGGCTACTTGGAAGGCTGAGGCGGAAGGATCGCCGGAGCCCAGCAGGTGGAGGCTGCGGTGGCCGGGAGCGGCCACTGCACTCCAGTCTGGGCGACAGAGTGAGACTCCAACTCAAAAAAAAAATTAAAATTAAAATAAAAAAAATGTTTGTTTTTTTAATTAGCCAGGTGTAGTGGCACACGCCTGTAGTCCCAGATACTCGGAAGGCTGAGGCAGAAGTATCACCTGAGCTCAGGAGGTCCAGGCTGTGGTAAGCCGTGAGCTAGTGAGGGGTTTAGTGGTTGGAAAATTAGAAGAGACATCAAGGGTGGGGGTATTCTTGTTTAGCTGACTTAACAGGATCTTGCCAAAGGCAGACCAGGATGATTAGGTGTCAATAGTAGGGAGATTACTCAGTGGAACTCTTGCTAAATCTGGGCTAGGCAAGCGGAGGACAGAGTCCAAGGACAAGGCCTAGTCAAAAAGAAGGACTGTGGTGGCCACATTCTTTTATAGGGAACCTGGAGACCCCGACTAAAAACAAACAAACAAACAAAAAACTACATGTGAAATAATTTGAAAGCCACCAAGTGTTAACTATGCATTTCCGATTATTTGCTCAAAACGATTTAAACAAATCAGTGTGAACTAAGGAATGGGAGGCCTCAAGGAAAAGGTAGAATATGCTAGAGCTTTGCTGCAGAGGAAAAAATGTAAAAGGAAAGTAATATCAGTTTAAAAATATGTTAACAAAAGAACCAACATGTTTCTAGAACTTTCTGCAGTCCCAATATGGTGGTATGACAGTTGGTGAGCTGTCTGTCCTTGTTCCAGTAGGTGATGGGAGTTTCTGGCACAGAAGGATAAGGATTATTCTCAAGCCATAAAAGTTGAATCAACACAACTGAAAATAAACACGTGTTGAGCGCCTACTGTTTCCAAGCAAGGAGGAAGGTGGCTCCTCTCAGCTCTCCCAGCCCGAGCGAGGTGGCTGCGCGCTCCTTCCACTTGATCCCGGGCTGCCCTGGGGCTGGGAGGGCCCCTAGCCCCGCTGGGCTCCAGTAGCCGGACGCCCCGGGGGACCAGCCCGATCTAACCCAGGAGAGGACGCACAGGCAGAGCGCGAGGGAGGCCCAGGGCGGTTCCTTCCCGGCGCCCGTCAAATGGTTCGGCCTGTGCACGCCCTAATCCCCGCCAGGCACCCAAGGGGACCGAAAGGAGCGACAGGGGGAGTCGGGCAAGCGGGATTTCCAGGCCTTTCCAGATGCCCGGCCAGGGTTGGCAACGTGACTGCTTCCCTCTCGGAGCTCCGCGGGCACCCGCCTCCTCTTCCTCTCCTTCACTGCCCTCCGCCAGGCTGACCTCTCCGCTCTGCTGCCTCCCGCGCAAGCCTTCGCCGGCAGCTGTCGCGGCCGCCATTTCCCAGTAGCCTCTTCGCGGTCCCTTTCTCCCAAACAAAATATCTTGCGGGGGTTAGGGGGACGCGTCCGGGGGTGTCTCTGGAAAGCCAGAGGGGAGAGGGAGGGAGGCATTTTTACCAAACTTTCCGCCCTCCTGACCGCGCCCCCCCGCACTTTTCCCTCCCCCCTCCCGCCGCCTTGTGGGCTGGTAAGTGAAAGAAGCTGGTTCCACTTACTCCACCGGTCTCAGGGCTCGACTAGCCTTACACTATTTCATGCGGATCCAAGCCGTGTCCTCTTTTCTTCGCCAGAGCTCATTTCCTCCTTTCCCCGAAACAAAATTGATTCTTGCCTTTTTGAGACTCCGTTTCCTCATCTTTAAAGTGGGAATGGCAGTGACATGTCATGATATCATGTATATATGAGAAACATGCCCTGTGCAAAGAAGGGGGAGCAGGAAGTAGGGGGAAGGGGATCCCGGAAAAAAAGTCCTCGCAAGGTGCAGGTAGATGTCCTAACGAATGTATTGATCAGAGAGTATTAGAGTAGGTAAATGGTTCGCAAAATAATCATTGAATAAATTACAGTGATTCTTAAATGTCTCAGTACTCATCTCACATTCTTTTTCAGAGGGCTTGAGCGATGTGTGTCCTGTGTCTGTGCTCACCACTGCTTGTGGGGGGGTGTCCATTAACAGAATCCGGACAGAGGCACAACACAACCCCTCACTTCCCCTGTGGAGTCCTGCACAGAGGCAACCTGGTGACCCCAAGGACATGCCTGCTTTGCACTCACAAGACTGACCAAATTTCGGTCAGTGTGGGAGCAAATTGTGAAAGGGCTCTTGTGATACTCCCAGCCTGGTATCAGGCACGCCGAGTGGAATTTCATTTTATCAGCAGCTATCTATTTCGCAATAGCCCTCGAGGCCCATCTTGGAGAAACCTTCATGTTTTGCTTACAGGGCTAGGAATTCTCCCTGATGGAAAAGGAGCTTGATTTACAATACATTTTCCTATCAATTTGCTGCCGGGTGAAGTAGAAAAAATGTACTATGTTTTCACATAGGATCGTCTCTGTTTTGGTGACCTCCTTTAGGGTTGGATGAATGAATGCAGGAATAAATGAATGGGTGAATAATGGAATCCATGCATTACTCAATAGTCCCCTGCAGCAGAAGCACCCTGAGCACTTGTTAAAACACAGTTGTACACCTCATCAACAAAGGTACCTGCATAATGAATATTTGATTTCTAACCCTGAATTATACAACACATCTTTAAAATTAAATAAATTTAATTTAATTTGACACAGCTTGTCGGACCCCACCTCCAGTTTCTGATTCAGTCGCTGTGGGTGGGTGGGGAGCGATTTGCAATTAGGTCATGCTGATGTTGCTGGTCCAGGAACCACACTCTAAGAACCATTGGCACAAGCCAATGGAGACACTCTTAGGCCACATTAATTGTAGCTTTAGATTTTCTGCCTGATCCTGCCAAGAAAGTAGCTCAGGCACACAGTTGGAAATGAATCCTCTGCCTCTAATGGGGGGGGGTAATGGGTGGGCTGCCCACTCTACATCTCAGCAAACCCTCCTGGGTGGTAGCATTAGATTTGAGTTGGAGCACTGGTGAAAGTGAGGTGTGTGTGTGTGTACACAGCCGCACATTTGTGCAGCTGCCCTTGACAGGTATTGCTGTCCCTTTGCATACCTCTAGTGCTGACTGCTGACCTTCTCCAGGTTCTCTCTCCTTTGCTCCCGAGTCCTTTTATATTCCGCAAAGAGTAAGCAAACACCTATGATCATGAGGATCAGTCTATTGTTTCCTGAGATTTGGTGACATCTAGTGGCTAGCCGGAGAACATTTGCTCAGACTTACAGAAACTTCTGGAAAATTAACCGAGCAGCCTGGGAAAGCAAAACCGCCTAGCTGTTTACCCTCTAAGAAAGGCTTCCTGAAGGGCAAGGTAATGGCTGGCTTAACATGACGTAAGAGCCAAAATGGATTTCTTACTCTGGGGCAGCTGTGATAAAAATTGGAAATCATCAAAAAAACCTCACATGACCTCCCACTTCATCTTCAATTTGAATGATTTTCTAAAAATAGTGCTCAATGAAAAGTGTCTCTGAATGAAATGCAATCAGATAACAGGAATTTGTTATTTGTCTCATAGGACATTTCTCTGGGCCCCAAGCACTAAACAGCCCTAGTATAACAATTCAGTTGAATGTGGTCAGGAAATCTACAAAGAGATCTGTGTTCAGGTGCAGCTGGTACTGACCTGAGGGCATCCAAGCCTAAAGGTCATTGAGAAGTGGAATTAACGACCACAGTGATGCAGACAGAAATGTAATGCAGATAGAGAAGGCACAGACAGGTCAGAATCCTCATGGGAGGTGCAAGGTATTCTAAATATGTGGTTTCTACTTCAACAGAAAATTTAAACTGCTTATGGAACAAAGAGCGTGCCATCAGAAATCACAAAGGAAGTTGCTCCTTAAAGTTGCTGTTTTAGGGTTAAACAGAATTTTAGCCATTGGAGAAATGTGATGGGTCTCAAAATGTGTCTTGAGACAAGCAGTATCAGCACATTCTCAAGCACCACTCCAGAACCACTAAACTAGAAACTCCAGAGATTACCCAGGCCCAGCAATCAATGGTTTAACAAGCCCTGTGGATTATTGATTCTGATCCACACAGAAGTTTGAGAACTACTGGTTTAAAACAAGCTTGAGATACCCTGAAAAACCTGAACGTAAAGGGTGTTTAGAAACTCTACTCATGAATTCATGGAGAAGACAATTATTTCTATAACATAAAACTGTTTCTTTTGAAAATGTTTTGTTTTTGACACATAAGTCTACTTATTTTTTAACATGCAAAGATGCTCTAGATCATCTACTCTGATCAAATGAAAAAGATTATTTACTTGCTTTTACTTTGGATTTTGGAGAATACTGATGTGATAAAATACAGTGTCCAGAAGTACCTTAATCGTCCTGTAGACATGGTATAAGTTTAAACACAAAGAAAAATGTTCAACCTTAATATTAATCAGATAAATACAAATTAAAAATAGCAATGAGATATCATTTCTTAACAAATTGGCAAAGATCAAATGTGCATCATTAGGAATGGTATAGGGGGAATTCAAAACACTCCTGGTGAAAAGACAAAATGACTATAATCTTTCTAGTAAGAGAAATCAAAAGCCTTAAAAATGTGTATATACCTTTGACTCAGCAATTCCACTTCTAGGGATATATCTTAGAAATAATTAATGATATGTACAACAATAAATATGTGAAAATGTTAATGTATTGTTTATAATTTAAAATTTCAATAGCACGCAATTATAAAATCAATCATGGTGTGCCCACATGATAGAACCTAATAAAAATCAAGCTGTACAAAATTGTTTTTCCAGTTTTTAAAAGGAAGATTTATTTAACAAGTTTCACTTAGTACAATACATCTAAATGGAAATCACAATACAGGGAAAGATTTAAATCAAAGCCTCAGAATTTCATACAAACGACACGACCAAACTCCTAAAGTATTGGTATTACATCTCAAAATTGTCCCAGATCTTAAAAAAAAAAAGGTAAAAGTGTACACTCACGTGCCTTACAGGATATTAAACCAAAAAGCTAGAATTAACAAACATGCCAAATGTTTTCACTTTGAATCGCAGACACAGCTCCTATATTTGAGTTTTACAGAAAAGCATGTTTCTCAACATGCATCCGAAGTTTTCAATGTATTGTGGTATAAGAGCAACATTTAACATAAGTGAAACTGCTTTAACCTAAATACGCTTACTGCTTAGGTACACTCCTACAACATAACTAACTTGAGGAAAGCTGAAAATTGTTTTAACAGTTATGGTCAATACTGAACTTTGTTATTATGTTCTAGATGAATATTTCAGTGTTCAAAATTACTGAGCTTGAAGTTTTAAAATAATCTTGACTTCCACTTTACAGTAAGCATGAATCACAAGCCTGTAATGCAAAACTGTTAAACTTAATTTTTCTTAAAGAAAGAAAGAAAGAAAGAAAGAAAGAAAGAAAGAAAGAAAGAAAGAAAGAAAGAAAGAAAGAAAGAAAGAAAGGAACGAAGGAAGGAGGCTGACCAAGAGTGATCAGAATCAATTATATTTCCCATTTACCAATCATACTGGATATACTAGACATCCCTCCCATTCTACTCAGCTCCATAAATGCACAGCTTTTGTATCTGTAGTAGCTGTTTAGTGCTCCTTCTCTACCTAAGCAAGGTTTGACTGATAGTCACTGGAGTTTTCCTGCAGAACTTGGTCATATCCACTCATACTGCTCTGACCACCATAACCACCTCCATAACCACCACTCAGCTGCTGGCTAGCAGGCCCTCCATAACTAGACTGGTTGGATAAGCCCATCCCTCCCATCATTTGGCTACCATAAGCACCACCACTTGCCCCTGCTGTAGAATTCAAAAAGAGTTCTACATAGCTGTGATCATAAGCCCCGCCACTTGTTCCTGCAGTAGAATTTAAGAAGAGCTCCACATATCTGTGTTGCATGTTAGCTTTATCTTTAGCCATAGCTGCCACAGCATCTTCATGAGTAGCAAATTCAACATCTGCCTCACCAGTAACTCTGCCATCAGGTCCAATTTCAATGTGCACTCTCATGGGGTTAAGAGGTGAGAAGAAATTATAAATATCATTCTCAGTGGCTCTGTAAGGTAACCCCCTCATGTGTACACAGTGCCCTGTGGTACTCTGAAAACTGGACCCACCATCTCCATATCTATGATCAGACATTCCTGAAAAACAGTAATTGAGGTCTCTGCCAAATCTATCAGACCCAAAGCCATATCCATCATTATAGCCACCATAGTCATCATAGCCTCCATACCCTCCACCATAGGCACCCCGCCTCATCCTTTCAAACCCAGCTCCTCTGCCAATGCTATTATACCCTCTGCCAGCCCCTGGCCTATCATAGGGACCTGGCCGCTGCATAGCCATGAGCTTTCGAGGAGGATCGTAGTGGGTTCGGACTTCAGCTCGACTACTCTTGAAGATTTCAATGTACCTGTGCCCTATTCTTTCCTTGTGTTTCTTTAAGGCCTTCTCAGCTATCTCCTGCGAAGCAAACTGCACAAAAGCCTCCCCTGTGCTTCGCCCCTGAAAGTCCACTGGCAGTGTCATCCCATTTGGCACAATTTCCAACCCTGAAAAGAACTGAACAATTTCTTCCTTGCTACAGCCAAATGGAAGTCCTCTAAGCCGGACGAAGCCATCGTTGGCAGTATCAGGACTATTCGGACCTGTATGCTTCAACACCCAATCCATTTCAACACTGTTGGACTTGAATACTTCAACGTATCTGTGTCCCATGGTTTCTCTGTCCTTCTTCAAAGCCAATTTCACTTCATCTTCGGATTCAAGTTCAACAAATGCTTCACCACTTGGTCTGCCTTCTCTAGTGTAGATGAAACGAATGCCTGATGTGCCATTTTGGATTTTGCAATCAGAAAAGAAGCGCATCACTTCATCAGCTGAGCAGGACCAGGGTAGGCCCCTGACCTTCACCACGAACCCCTCCCTGCCTTCGGTGCTCAGCATCATGGTGATTGTTGGGCTCTTGGTGGCAAGTTTGGCTCAATGCAATTTTGGTGTAGCTGAAAAAAGAAAAAATTAGAAAACTACTGTCATGGAAAAATGCTCACAATATAGTAAGATAAAGAAAGCAAACTACTAATATAAAACTCAATTACACCAATAGCTTTTTGTAGGACATCTGTATAAACAGAAAGAGTACACCAAAGTTTTAACCCATTCATTTATTCAACAATTATTTATGGCTGGGCGTAGTGGCTCACACCTATAATCCCAGCAATTTGGGAGTCTGAGGTAAAAGGATTGCCTGAGCTCACGGTTGGAGACCAGCCTGGGCAACTTGGCAAGACCTCATCTCTACAATAAATCAAAAAATTAGCTGGGCATGGTGGCACATGCCTGTAGTTTCAGCTACTTGGAAGACTGAGGCAGAAGGATCATCTGAGCCCAGCAGCTCAAGGCTGCGTTGGCCATGAGCATGCCACTGCACTCTAGCCTGGGCAACAGAGTGAGACTCCAACTCAAACAAAACAAAACAAAACTAATTATTTATTCAATGACTATTATGTGCCAGATACTATTAACAGTGGTTATTCCTGGATAGTAAGATTATGAGAGATTTTTATTTCAGGGAATTCTTCTTTGGACATTTCTGTATGTTCTAAGTTTTCTGCATTGACCATATATTAACATCATAGCCAGAAAATTAAAAAGCTTAAAAAATTAACAGCAACAAAATCCAGGGAAGATGTCAGCAAATAAAAGATGGCTATGTCTAATTATATGAAAAAACTTCATTAGATCAAAAGTAAAATTAAACATTTAAAATATAAAATATATTATATAAGCTCTTTATATAATATCCTTAACATTTTTGTTATACAAAGAACTTATACAAATTAATAAAATATGGGAAATATTTAGGCCTAAAAGACAAATAGAAGGCATTATTGGAAATTCATTCATTCATTTTATTTATTTTGTTACCACTACAAACCAACCAACACTCATTCATTTTAGAAACATCTTTTTAGTTGTCAGGCCAGGTACTCAGCTCTGGCATACAAGAATCAATAAACCCAGAAAGGGCTTATGGTCCTACAGGGGCACTATGTGTCTTTACTAAAGATATCAGTGCAAATATACACTATACCTGCTATGACCAAACTCTGTGCAGGGTGTAAGCACAGTATCAAGGAAGAACTAGTTGGTCAATTCTACTACAAATGAAACAGACTAATCTGTTTAGGGATCCATAAACGAACCTTCAAAATTTTAGTAGAGTACAAATAGGAAAGGGCAAAGAACAAGATAAGGCTGGCATGGCAGAAATCAGATCCCAAAGGCTTTATTTGATATACAAAAATGCTAAGTGCCTTTTACCACTTTTAAACAGGGGAGGGGATGATGTCATCAAAGCCCTTTCAGACAGATCACCCTGGCAACAGTGTGGCCCTCAAACAGAAGGGGGTCCAGGTGAACCTAAGGAGACTAGTTAGTACCTGTCTTTTAGAGATATGTTAACAGATTCACTCAAAGCAACAGCAGTAAAATGGGGAGGAAACATGTGAGCTACATCTATCAAACAGGTGGAATCCGCAGGACTTGATAACAGAAGTATGGATGAATACAGACAGGTATAGGATAACATAGGAGAGGAATCTGGGAAATGTTCAAATCTATCAATCATCAGAAATGCAAGTTAAAACCAGAACTAAGCACCATTTTTCAACTATCAATAGAGTGAAGTGGGATTTTCACCTTTTACCCTATACACGTCTATATAGTGTTAAACAGTGACAATAAGTTAATGCTATTCAGGGTTCACATATTAATAATATACCACTAGAAAAGTGAAATTTGTCATCAACAAGGGCACCTGCATAATGAACATTTGTATAACTAATCCCAAATTGTACCCCATATATTTAAAATTAAAAATTTTTTAAAAAGTGAAATTTGATACACCATTTCTAAGAGTACATCTACTTCAGGTTATATGCCCTAAAAAGACAATCTGAAATTCAGACAGATTTATGGAGCTATACATTCTTTGAAAAGCATCTTATTAAGAAAAATGGAATATTACATAATGTTAAAAGTTCTAAAAATATTTAATAACATGAGAAATTACTTATACTATAATCTTAAGTGACCCAAGATCACAGCTACTTCATAATCTCAATACATAAAAATTATTATGTTCACATACCCTTTGACACTGATAGAATTCCTTCCAAGAATCTGGTCAACAGAAATACAAATGTTCCCTGCAGCACTCTTAGTAATGGCAGAAAATTAGAAACCTAAATAGCCATCAATAGAGGTATGGCTGAATGAATCATACTTTATCCTTAAAATAAAGTGCTATGTAGCTGTTCAGAAAAAGAGAGATCTATCTGCCCTGACCTAGAAAGATTTCCAAAATATATTAAATGAAAGAATATACATAGTATAGTCCTACTTATATTAAAACATAAGCATGCATGTATATATGTATGCAAATACATAAAAGATCTGGAAGCAAACTTGTTTTTGAAAAAAAGAACAACTGAAGGGTAGGGAGTGAAGTGGGATTTTCACTTTTTACCCTATATACTTCTATACAGCTTTAATTCTTTAAACTCACCGTATTGGAATTTTTTAAATGTTAGCAAAACATATTAGTAGTTACTCTCAGTCGTAGGTTTATGGCTTTTACTGTTATTTTTCCAATTTTTGTGCGATCTTAATTTTTTGCAGAAACAATAATTACTTTCACTTCAGCAAAACAAAGTAACATAAAACAAATCAAAATGTTTGCTCTTCTGGGATTTGGCATAGAAAATTTCATAACATTTTCTAATTTTGTATGTGAATGGTTTATGTGACATGGTCTGGGAACCACTGGGCCTCTTGGAAACAAAGTGCAATAACTGCCATATAACTACACTGAGAATTCAATTTAACAAACATTTTCTATTATATGCCTATTATGTGCCTGGCACAACGCATCTGCAGTGATAACAATCTTCCTATAAACCATCCTAAGGGCTCAGTGACAGATTTACTGACTGTTTCTTGCCTGATTTATCCCTGGGATGACCTGTTCCATTTAATGTTCCTGCAGCACCCTAAGCCTTAACGGGCCCTCTGTAGGAGTAGGGAGGTTCTGCTTCATTACTGCATCTCCTGGGAAGACCACCAGGACTCTGTTGCCTGAAGCAGGAATCAAGACTCTATTTGTGAGTTAAGTTTGTGTATTTAGATGTGTACCCTTTTAAAACTGTTAACAGTATAAGGTTGAGTAGTTATTCTCCGGGTTGTGAATTGCGTGTATTTTTAAAATTTATACTATGTTGTTATTTTTCAAATGTTCGAAATTGAACACGCTGTTGTTATTAAAAAAAAAAAAAAAAACAAACAAACGTTTTTCAAATACTCAGTTCAGTAAAATTTACTGGGCGCCTCTGTCAGGCACGCAGTATTTGCCTAGATGTAACTCTACAGACAATTCACTTGGGGCCTCCCCCTACAGACAATCGGGCAGTGAAGACTGAGTGCCTGAATGGATAGACCAGCACTCAGACCACTGGTCTCTGTTATCTGTTTTTCTTAACTCAGGCCGTGGTTTTCAAATGTTTTTCACCTTAGGGTCACCCTTAGGGGTCCCCCGAGACCAGCCCAGACAGATACACAAAAACATACACACAGTCACGAACGTCCACCATTTCCCCACCAGGCGCAGCAAAGGTGGCTTCCCGGCACTGAGATGGGGGT